GGACCCCCCCCCCCCCCCGGAGCAAAATGAACCTATTTTGCCTACACTACCCAGATAGACACCCACACAAGAATAAATTAACACAGGGGCCTGTAGGTCAGCAAAAACCTCAAAGCTAGTTTGTTACAGAATTAGCATTAGATTTCAAGACCACACTTACTTACAAAACACCCTCTGGCAAAAAACAAACCTTGAAAGAAACTAAGTACAACACTGCCAGATACTAAAATCTAAAACCACTTTGTGGAAAAAAAGGAACGTACATCCCCGCCTGCTGAAATCATCTGCGGCGCTGACAACTCAGGGGCAGAGGTACGCAAAAACTACCTGATTGGAACTGAATTTCTCGGGTAGTTAATTTCGCAATTTTGACAAGAGAGTATTTTGCAGAATTTTATTTTTATGATTTTAACAGGCAAATGTGAAAAAAGAACAACAAAATTTGTGATTTAACCATTCTCAACTTAAATTTATTTTTTCAAAAGTCTGAACCTTTAAAGACTTTTAGATAAACTGCAACAAATAATGTGTGAAATCTTTGCAAACTTAAGTTATTTCAAAAGTGAAGATACAAAAAGGAGCTTACCAGTAAAACCAGTCAGCAATTTGTGTGTGTCCATATATATCCTTTATATGTCAATTGTTGCTATTACAAGTTAATTCTTTTTTTGAATTTTCTATATGGGTATAAAATTTTTCGTGGTTAAAAATCATGAGGATTTATTTTCGCAATTTTTCTACAATCTCAAAAGACGCGAAATTAATTACCAACAAGGTAGCTTCCAAATGCCTATAAACAAAACTATATAACAAAATTGGAAAATAAAAAAGTTAGGAGCTCAAATGAATGCTGACCTAGACTGATTCAAATTTGCAGATGTGTACAACTTAAACACGTCTCAAAAAACTAACCACAATTTCTCATAGCCAAGCCGTCCTCTGGTCCATGCCGGCAAAATAGCGATTTCTGTCTGTTCTGTTATACTACACTGTCGTAAATACTATTTTTTCACTTAAACAGGGTCAGGGTTTGAAGACCTCAGCAGCACAACTATACCCAAACTCCCCTTTAGTGCAACCACCATTACCTGATCACATGTAAAAAGGCCAAAATCTGGAATTACGTATTTCTAATTGGTCCACACACAAAACATCTAGCACAGTTCTGTTCTGATTGGCTTAGAGGTTTTATGTTTTATAGGATTTTGACACTTGCAATTAAATGGTGTTTGAATAAGATGTATCTGATTCATTTAGATAACATACTCCCCCAGGTTTAAAGGTGATGTTACATGGATCTGCAACAAAGCAGTGCAATGTTAAAACAGTGTTGCAACCATTTGAAACAATGTTGCATCACTGTTTGTGCTCAAAATTGTCTTCTTGAATTGTCCTTTGTTACATCACCTTAAGTTTGTATTTTCATTTTTGTGGCTGATAATTACGGTCAAACCACCCATAAGAGACCACTCAAAATGCGAAGAGTTGGTGTTCACTTACCAGAGGTGGTTGCTTATGATAGTTGAAGTGCAGGAGGTCTTTTATGAGGAGAAATCTGGAAACATCTGTGTTTGGGAGAGAATGTACTGGAAACATTTTTAGATAACAATAATATTATATGTAAATCCATGTTCTTTCTTAAAGTTCTTCTACTCTGAGTAATGAAGTAGATGTGGTGAATGCAAAAAACAGAACTACATAAAATACATCAGGTGGTTGCTGAGAAGAGGTTGAAACATTGAAAAATCTTAAAACCCTCATGCTAATATATAAGCAATGGTCGCGGTTGCTTATGGAGGCAGCCGTTCACAAGAGTTCCATAGATAAGTGGTTGCTTATGAGAGGTGGTTGTTTACGTAAGACATGGTTGCACAGAGGGGTTACCTATCTACCTATCACAGAAATAATCTTGTGTTGGTTTTGAAAGGAAATGATAATTGAAAATAGCCATCGTTTATTGTTTTGAGGACAGGGTGACCACATATTAATTTATTTAAATGGGTGGGTGGGGGGAGGGGGGGAAGCTGGCCTGTATAAATCAGGCATTCTTTTTCTTCCTTTATTCTCAA